AACCGAAAACAAAATGTACCTGTGTTAGAGACCCTGCCAACATGCCACAATTGGCAAAAGAAAACTGCACCTTTAGCATGAACTGCTTCCACAATAGGCTTCCATGCCTCAACTTGTTCCTTGGTCCATATACCTGGAGTATGTGTGTACCTGAAGAGGACCACAAAATAAATAAATAAATAAATAAAAGAATGGTATCTCAGCAAAAACAAACAAACAACAAAAAGGATATGCTAATTATATTCAAATATTACCCTTGTGCAGTATCAGAAACTCCAGTGGCTTCAGTCAACATAAAACCACCTTTTGTTGCTCTTTGGCTGTAATACAATACAGCATGTGGCTGAGGGACATTGCCATAGGATCTCTGCCTAGTCAGTGGTGCCAGAACAATTCTGCCAAAATTATTTATAAAAAATTCAAAAATTTAGAAAATGTGAGTTACACATTCTTATCAGTCAATGATTAAAGATCAATCATACCTGACCTTACCGGGTTTTTCACCACAAACAATAAAAAATTCAGTGAGACCGTACACTCATCGATAGAGTCGAATTTGCTGAGATTTTGACAAACAGTTTGTCTAATGACTGATGAAAACTAAGCATGTTCTAATAAAGTTAAGATCTTTATTTAATGGGCAGAGCTAGTAAGTGAATGTTTGCTCAGTTTTTAACTTTAGACATAAACCCAAGTGGGTTTTGTCGTAAATAAACACACCCAGTAAAGAAACTACAGGTAAAAGCTAAACGTGTTTTATTAAAAATGGAATCTTTATGCAATGGGTTGAATTAGCAAGTGACAGCACTGCATAGGACCTTTTGTTATTTTAAACCATAAGTCCAAGTGGGATTTGTTTTAACATGGTCAAACAAGTTCTTCAATACACCCTCAAACACACACACACACACAAATATCGACAAAACAACAAAGATTGAGAGAGAGAGACTGTGTGTAGTGATTAGAGCTGTTAAATTAAACGAGCCACAACCATTCATGAGCTTGGCTCGACTTGGATAGTTAAAGCTCAAGCTCGAGCTCATTTAAAACTCGTTCAGTTAATAGCTCAGCTCGATAAAGCTTGAAAAGATGATTTTTATGTGTTTTTCTATAGTTCAACTCGATTTTGGCTCGAGCTCGGCTGGTTTACACCCTTAGCAGTGATGGATGGTGAGTACCTGTGAGAAAGCTCAAACTTTCCCATTTTGTAGGGTGTGAGGAGTGGGATTTGCTGCTTTTCTTGCCCCTCATTTGATTTGTTCTCCATGTTTCTGCAAAAATGTTTGAAAGAGAAAAATGAAAAATGTGTTCTTGTGATATAAGTTCACAATCTTGCCACCATTTTATAGTCCCCTGCTCACTTGTCTAATTGCCTGATTGATGGAGTTGTCGGCCAATTTTGACCTTTTTGCCACCAAATTATATTGTTTTATGTTGTGACCATGTGATAGAAATTTGTGTAATTGTATTGCATTATTACATACAAAATTAATTCTATTTCTATTTTATTCAGAAAGTATAATCATTTGATCTGTGAGACCTACTTTGTCCCTTAAACTAACTGATGAAAATAATGAGCACCTGTTGATGCTTACTTCAGGCGTGACGTAATATGCGGTGTCTGTAATTGGCGACTGAACTGTGTGAAATGAAAGGGAAGACAGATTTAGTTGAATTTTGTGACAAACACACCCGTTAAACAATTAGAGCATGATTGGATATAATTTTGTTTTTGTTTAGATTGGATTTTTGATTTGGGTTGGTTAAATTTGAAAAAGTAGGTATGGTTAGTTGTTAGTGGATATAATAAAATAATATTTAAAATAAAATGATTAAAATTAAATTGATGTAAAAGTAAGAGAGAGAAGATATGATGTGATAGTTAGTTAAATTTATGTGAGTAGATAAATAGTGAATTAAGGTTGATGTTGTGTGTAAGAATGATTGATTGATATTATTTAATTATATTGATAATATTAATGATAGTGGGTTGAGTTAAAGTTGAGTTAAAAAAAGTGATTGAGTTAAAAATAAAAAAAAAATTAAATTGAACTTGTATCCAATCATGCTCTTAAAGATTCGGTTGAATGAGGCCAGAGTTTGGTAAAAGGGAGAAATAGTTGGATTGATTTTCAAGTTGATTGTAATTCAATAATTCATTGGGGTCTGATTTGACCTATTTGTTTGTCCAAGTGAACCCAATTTTGTATATAATGTTTGGTCTGAAACGTCGTTATTTAAATGTATTTATATGGTCTTCTCAATTTTAAATTCAAAGCCAAATTTGAATTGGTTTTCTCGTAATTCTACTACAAAAATGCCAATTATTCACCTATTGCCCAATCTATATATATATAATAAGAATTAACATATACTATAAATAGTAGTAAGAAAAAATTAACCACATTTATTATATACTATTTTTAGCAACTTTTACATTTTAATTTTAATTCATTATAAAAAAATTGAATAGTTCCTAGATTAATGGGTTTTAAATGCACGTATCATGTTTCAAAAATTATAAATCATTTAAAATCGGAGGGTTCCTAAATTAATGGTTACAAACTTTTCAAAGTTGTAATCTTTTTGGCATCTTTTCTTTTTGACTTTTAATGATAAAATTATTTTAAATATATACATTCTAATCCAAAAATTCAATCATGTTAAATATATATATATATATATATTGAACGCTACAAATATTTTTTAAATTGCATACCCAATCAATTAATCTTAATTTTTTTTAAATTACTATCTTTATTTTTTATTAATATGCATAAAATGAAAATAAATAGTTCATCTTTAGATATATAATTTATAATCTTAATATACTATCATTTGGTGTAGACATATGAATCATAAAATATTTTTATTTCATAAAATTAAATATTATATTTAAAAAAAAATAAGGAAATTACTTTGGATCAATCGGGTGATTGAATTAAGGTACTGCCCACTTTGATTGAATTACTTTTAGGTGATATTTAAAATAGTCAAAAAACTTGACACAACTTGGTTGGTCCGAGGTAACTAAGTTATGTATCAGTTTGACCAAACCACATTGATTATTGAACCTAAATATAAATTTTAATATTAAAAATACTTTATTACGTGAATGTGATGTAGTCCAAACTTCAAATAATCATATTAACAATACTTTTATGACAACATGATTAATGATTTATGAATATTTATATATCATTTTATCATTATTTATGTGAACAAAATATTTATTTGATTATCATTTTTATTAATGTACGGTAAATATAAGGTTTTCAGAATTGGACCGTCTTGTGGTTGTTCGGATTTTAATACATAATACTTTTTGTAATAAATTTAAATAAAAAGTGTTACTTAAATATCTAAACAATTTATAAATTCAAATGTTTAAACTAATTGATAAACAATTTATAAATCTCTATTTTATTTAAATATGTAATTTTAGTTAAAATAATTTTTCATGTAACAAAATTTGTTTAGAAAATCGTATCGATCTTACCAGTCCAACATACTGGTGTTGGCGGATTCGATAGCAAATATTTTATTCAAGCGCACTAAATCGGTTATAAACCGGTTCTCGGTCCATCCGGTCGGACTGTGTCCAACCCAGTTTAATTTATAAATAATGCGTAAAGCATGATTATTGTTATTTATTTATTTAATTTATAATACAATCAAAATATTATTTTCCCGTGCATCGCACGGACCACGTACTAGTATAGGCAAAAAAGAAAAAGAAAATAATAAACGAAGTTTTCAACACGAACATGACACGAAAATGTAAAGCACAAGTTCATTCAAATCAACACTAGAAAAATTCAAAAGCAAAGGTTCAAACTCAGATAAAAAGCCTCCCCACACACTTGTTCAAAAACTCAGCTTAAACCTCACCACACCACATACATCAAAATTCAAGACCGTCAAAACCAAATATAACTTAGAAGTTAGAATTCATCACCATAAACGAAAATTCTCCCCGTAGGTTACACATAACCAAAACAAAAAATGCAAAACAAACCTCCATCCCTTCACTTGAAGCACTTCGCATCCAACAAGGCCTCTCCCTCAAAGGGCTCGGCATCTTCAATCATCTGGTTCACACGCTCCTTTTGGGCCTCGTCATTGATGTCCACCTTGGCCCAATCATAGAGCTCCATGTCGTAACACTCGTCCACAACAAACTGGGGAATCTCAGTGCCACGGAAGAGCCACAGCCCTTTGACCTTGTAAGGAGCCTCCGAGCCAATGATGAGCATTTTCCCGAAAGCGTACTTGCGAGCGAGGTCCATCCTCTGCAAGAAGCCGCTCACCTTATTTAAGGTGACAAACGAAACTGTGTTCTCGTCATTGTATTTGTAGTCACAGAACCACAGAGAGTATCCTTCAGGATCATACATGTCCCAAAATCCTACGTAGAAAGAAAAACAATAAGCACAAGAAAACAAAAAAATAAAATATATTAAAAAAAAGTTATCCAATCATCACGACACATTTATCCAGAGATAAACCAACCCAAAGAAAATCATGTGTCAACTAGGGGTGCACAACTTTCGGTTAACCGAGCCGAACCGACCGAAACCGAATATTTGGGTCGGTTTTCAATTAACATTTTTCAACATTCAGTTTGCGGTTCAGTTTGAATAATAGTGATTGGTTAACCGAACCGAATTGAAAACCAATTTATACATACATACATATATATATATATATATATACTTATATTTATACTTATATATATACTTATAAGTTATAAAAACATTAATTTGTTTCAATGATTGATGATTATCGAGCTTCAATGACCCATAAAATGGCTCAAGTATTAATTTTCATTCAAAATTTGTTTCGTCATAGTCCAAGTCATGGTTCGGGTCCAAGATTTTCCTTATTGGCGAATTTAAAATTTATTGAGAAGATTAAACAAGGTGATAAAAAATCAATTTTTTGGTTCGAAATAAAATTAAATTTTTGGTGCGGGTTAAAGATTAGAAATTTAGTTAGAAGATTAATTATTCATTGCGATTAACAGATAACCGAGCCCAACGCTGGATTTTCGGTTAAAATCGAACCGAACCATAATTTCGGTTCTTATAATGGATAAACTGAATTTTTGGAAATCCGGTCAGTTCGGTTTGATTTTGACCGAATGAGCAGCCCTAGTGTCAACAGTTTCACTAAACAACCCGTCTTTAATTTTGTCAATGCAAAGAAGCTCCAAAATATTAAAAATCAACTGAGATGCAGTTATCAAAAATCCACAGATGGTCAAACATATATACCTTTGATTGCAACCTCACGGAAGTTGGTCTTGGTGTTAGAATAAAGCCTCTTCCACTCGTCCAAAATCATCTTGCTAGGAGGCAACAGATCCAATGGATTCTTAGCCTTGGGCTTGGGAGCTTCCTCTGCCTCAGCTGCTACTTCCTTGGGCTTTACCTCCTCTTTCTTAGCCTCCTTTGCCTTGGGCTTTTCAGCCTCCTTGGGCTGGGCCGGCTTCTTGGACGCAACAGGGGGGACAGACTCAGCCTGCTTGACATCACCCCAAAACTTCTTGAAGTTGGGCTGGTTGACCAATGTCCAGATATACCTCTCCACATGAGGGAACTCAGAGGTGAAGCTCTTGGTCAGGCCCATCTTGAATCCAAAAGCAAGGTTGCAGACCATAACAATGTCTGCAAGCGTAACACTGTGCCCGACCAAGTAGGTGTTTGAGGCAAGGTGAGTGTTCAAAGCTCCCAAAGCCCTCTTTAAATTGGCAATTGCAACCTCCTCAGCCTGTATATATTAGAGAGAGAGAGAGAGAGAAGAAATGAATGATTAATAATAACACTAATAGTGATTAAATGGTAGTAATAGTAATAATAGGGCCAAGATTTAGAAAGTGAATTTGATTAAATGAATTTTTTAGGAAAAAGTCAGCAAGATTACAAATACTAATAATATAATATCGAGAAATCGAGATCGAGATAGAGAGAGAGAGAGAGAAAGATGAATAATAATAATAATAATAATAATAATAATAATAATAATAATAATAATAATAATAATTGTGATCACATGATAGTAATAGTAATAATAGGACCCTGATTTAGAAAGTGAACTTGATTAAATGAATTTTTTAGGCAAAAGTGAGCAAGATTTTCAAGAATTTCTTAACTATCATATAAGCATAAGGGTTGAAAAACACTAGGACAAGTTTATTACAGACCTGGGGAATATATGGACGAAATCCAAACCTCGGGTATAACCAGGATGCTATGTTAGCATCGATTTCAGTAGCAGAAAAATCGTTCCACTGCTCAATGTGACCCTGTGAGATCCAATGAACAATTCCAATCAACATATAACTAGAGATTGTGGGGACTTCATAAGAGAACACACACACACACACACACACACACATATGTAATGATAAATGAGCGAATCCATCTGTAGAAGCCAGAGAGCAGTCATCTTACATAATCAATCAACGATGACCCATATAAGGGGCTATCAGGATTCGATCGAGCCACTGAATAAATATAAGCAAGAAAAATGTCAAAGCAAATTATATTACTGGATCAAATTAAAACAAATCGAGCCACTGAATAAATATAAGCAAGAAAAATGTCAAAGCAAATTATATTACTGGATCAAATTAAAACAAACCAATAAGAAGTTAATTTTACCATAGCGTGCAATAGCATTGCTTTCAAAAACACAGCCATCGGGTGTTTCCAGCACAGGAATCTAGGGAGATAAATCTTGAAATCAATGAAAAACCTCAAAGATTTTGCATAAATTTAAAAGAATGATAATGTGAAATTATTTGTTCATACTTTCCCAATAGGATTCATCTTGATGAATTCCGGGGTCTTATTTGTCACGCCCATCTGAAAATCCTTTGCCAGTTCAACCTTTACACCAGTGTACTCCGCGGCAATAAGTGCCTTGAATGCATTTTTGTTCTCAGAGGAATGCAGAACCTGAGTAGAATACATATAAGGTTCAAAAAACAAAGATTACAAAGGCACAAGGAACATTGTATATATATTTGTGCATGATCATTTTCATAGGTCCAGTTTCCTTTTAAGAAATTTTACATCCTTTAAGCATATAATTTAATTTGGTTTCAGGACAAACTACAAACCTCTCCAAATGGAAAATATAGCATAACCCACCAAGCCACACACTCATACATAGAAAAATAAAATCACAAACATACAACTCGAGTTTGATATAAAATAACAAGCAGCCCAACAAATGTATAAATTCAGCACAAGAGCCCCAATCCAGAACCAAGTGAACCGATAACAGAACCCAGCTTCCAGATACACAAAAATATATCAACAGTGGACGAGCACAGAAAGATCAAGATTTTAGTAAACCACGAGCCAGAGGAACAACGTTAATATATCAATGCAACAGTAAATTCCGCGGTAAGAGCAGATGCATAAATCGCAGAACTCTCAAACAGCCAATTACACTTATATGCTTCACTAGAAACTAGCAACAGATCTAAAACAGCAAATCCGCGGAAGAAATGAAACACTTACCAAAGCCATTGTTGTTTCACAAGATCGATCCTTTCACTCTCTAAATTCTCGAAAATCTAAAAAATAAATAAATAAACATGATTATAATAAACAAATCTCTAAAAAATAGCGAATTTGCAGGTTCTCAATAATATAATTCAACTTGAAAATATTATATATCAAAAGGGTTTCAAGAGAATAATGAGTATATCCAACCTCCGGAGTGAAAGAGGCCGTAAGCTGCAGAGAAGTTGGGCGACGCAAGTGAACAAAGAGATTGGAATTAGGGTTTCTTGTGGTGAATATATAGTTTTATTTGTGTACAGTGGTTAGGCCGCAAACGTGTCCGTCACGAGTCGCTCGCGATTGCTCGACTCAAGCTCGACCAAACTCAAGCTCAATTAGTTTAATCGAACAAAGGAGTCAAACGTCGAGCATCATTTCAAAAGGTTCGTAACTTTGACATTAACTTTTTATTTACATAAATATCTCATATTATTACTATTATAACACTAAGACCAAAATTATCAATTTATATTAAAAATAGTAATTTTATATTTAAAATTAACGTTAAAATTTTAAGTCGAACTCAAGACTTGTCGAGTAACGAGTTGGATCTCAGCATCAAGTCGAGCTCGAGCATTCTTTTTTTTTTTTCACG